CAATTTTGCCTGCAAGTATGCATAATGAAAAAGCCGTTATTTTCCATACGTCATCTGGCATGTGGACACTAAAGCTGAGTTGCACTGTCCTGTGTTGTTGGACCAGAATGTCTGAATAGTTGTGGATTGATTTTTCTGCTGTGCTATCCTATTTACTACAGATGAACTGTAATACAAAGGACCATCCCCTCCCAGTTGAATGCCTCTATTTAATCAGGATTTCTTTCATAATTCAGCCAAAAGACTGCTGCTGGGCTTGAGAACTGATTCATCAGCACATAGGTGAGATAGATCCCATGAATAACTAGGATTGTAATACATGTACAGTATCTTGTTAGTTTTTACAAGGCATGTCTGGACTAATTTGTGTGTTTATTGTTCCCTAAGATTATATGGCTGCAATCTAATCTATACTGCAATGTATATATATAATTATGGCAGCCTAGCTTCTGTTCTGCTTAATTCTGAAAACAAAGCTGAAATACCGCACATGCTAAGATCTCTTAACTGGTTTGCAGTACAGGCATGCAATGTTACTTTCTTCTGCCTTACAGAGCATATATGAATCATATGGGACACAGTCACAAACAGGAAGCAGGAATCTGGATGCAAAGTGGGGGTATTGGGTGACAGCAATAGGAGACTCAAGGGGAGAGAGGGGCACAATGAATTTGGGGAACCAGAAGTTCATCAGAATTTATTTACCCCTTAGTTTATATCTCAGAGCTTTGTGGGTCATTGGCTGCATATATTCAAATTTATTGTTAATGTGCTGTAAAGTCATCTCAGACTTATGGTGACCCTATGAATTAATGATCTCCAAAATGTCCTGTTGTCAACAGCCTTGCTTAGCCCTTGCAAACTCAAGCCTGTGGTTTCCTTTAGGGAGTTAGTCTTCCTCTTTTCCTGCTGCTTTCCACCTTTCCAGACATTATTGTCTTTTCCAGAGAACCTTGTATTCTAATGTTCTAAAGTAGAACAGCCTCAGTTTCAACATTTCTGCCTCCAGCCATCATTGTTCAGGCTTGATTTTGTCTAGGACCTACTTGTTTATCTTTCTGGCCGTCTAGGGTATCCGCAAAGCTCTCCTCCAGCACCACATTTCAAGCAGATCACTTTTTTTCCTGTCAGCTTTCTTAACTGTCCAGCTTTCACACCCATATATGGTGATCAGGAATACAAGAGTGTATATTCAGATCGACCCCCTAATATGAGAATATGGGTCAGGAAGCAGATCGTTTGCATGTATGTGTTGCCACTTTATCCAACAGTGTTACACCTGGCCAAAGCCAGAAAAACACTACTTCTGGGCATTGCAGTTTGCTGAATTTAGGAGCTGTAATCCAACGGGGGAAAACATTCCCAAACTCTACCTGCAGCACAGATTATTGCTGTTTATTGGACAAACCTAGAAATATGAATATATTTGCAGGCAAGGAGCATGGATTGATGGGAATATGTTGGTTAAACACAGTTTGTTATAACCCCTGATACCATCCATTGTTTTCTTGTAAGCCTCTAGTAGCTCCTAGGGTGGGTGTAGGAAAAACAAGTATTCAGGATTATTTGCACTATCTTTACTCTGTGGGGCAGGGATGGCACGTGTCCATTGCATGGCAGGTGCCACTACACACACACACACCACATGGCAACACCCTTAGAGAGGGAGGCAGAGGAAAGAGGGGAGATAGGCGAACAGCTGGACCTGTTGTCTGTCGCAGGGCAGGGCATCTTGGGAGAGGCCACAGCCCCCCCCCTCCACTGGGGTCCGCACCAGCCACAACAGCGGAGAAGAGTAATGGGAGGGGGGAAGGGATGACTGGATGTTATTGAAAGGTCATCATCAGTTTCACTTTTGTAGGGTCTGGGTGTTTTTGCAAGGTGGAGGGCCTGCACTTTGTTGTACTGCAAAGCCACCGTTCCTAGACTCTCACAGCAATATAAAACATAGGGGGGTTTGCAGGGTTTCTCTCTTGGCAGGTAGATTCTTGAAGGCTATGAAAACAGCTCTGGAGGGCTACATGTGGACCTTCAGGGAGAACTCTGCCCAACCATAGTCTGTGCACCTACCAGCAACAATGCTATGATTCAAAACCTTCTTATCTTTTTGTATAATACACTGCCCCAGTCTTGATAAAGAGGAAGAAGAACACAGAGGAATGCCTGCTGACTGGCATTTGCTTATTACATCTCTTCTTGGCACGAGTCGATAAAACAGCCAGAGCGAATGTTATTAATCTACAGACTGCTGTTTTGCATCACCACAGCAGGCTAAACGGCAAAACCAGCAGACAGAAATTTAGCAATATCTAGTAAATGTCCTTTTGAGGGTCCTTGGTTACCATTTTCTCAGAAAAAAATCTGCATGCTTTGAGCCTCACATGTGGCAATACAGCAGTGTTTTAATGCGAGGTGAATTCCTGCTAGACTTTGCTAGGATGTTATCTCACATACTGAGTCTGGAAAGGTGGCAGTAAGAACTGCATCATGCAATTGAGTCCTCTCACTTTTTTTGGATCCTTACAGACCAGCTGGCACTCCCAAGTTCTTGGCTGGATGTTTCCGGTATCATCTCTGTTCTCAACCACTATGAAGGTTAGCAATTTTATAGGGGTGTGATGAAAGCCAATTTGATGTGGAAAACTGAAAACCAAACTTTCTCATTCTCAGCAGGAAGAAATAAAAATGTGTGTGTGAGTGTGTGTGTGAGTGAGTGAGTGAGAGAGAGAGAGAGAGAGTGAAGGAAAAGCATTATTGTATTTTGATTTTCTTTTTTGGGTGAAAACACGCAGACACAAGTCATAGCTTGACATCAAGGCCAGTCCCTGTCAAGGAGGCACTATGGGGAATTGAACTCCCAACCTCTGGCTATGGAGCCAGATGCCTCAACCACTGAGCCATCCAGTAGTTTATATTAATCTAGATATAGATACTGTATATATTTCCTTCTCATTTTTATACTTTTCAGAAATAGCCTTCATTGAGTTTCAACAATGTATCAGTAACAAGTATATTTCCTTTCTTTCCACGATGTTCGTAAAGCTTGTTTACTACCATTACCTCTAATTTCCCTTCCTCTCGTTGCATCCTGTCCCTCAGCCATAGCCTGACCTCGAACTGAGTAAACACTGACTAA